CTACTATCAATTTTGCAAACCAATATCACTTTACATTCTCACTTAATTGTACTTACCAATCTTAATTTCTTTTAACAAATGGGATCAAAGGGAGCTTTATCTTGGACACATCAGGCACATTTTATTTTTAGTAGCTCTTTAATTACAAGCACCTAAACATTCATTATTGTTCTCTTTTAAACTGGTTATCTGTATGGTGTTTAAGCCTAATGAGTTTGTTTAGAGGGAAAACATCTGTTAGAGATTTTCATAAATATTTTTATAGAATGAAAAAATAGACCAAACCAATCACTATGTGAAATGAAGTAGCAGGAGATTTGTGTAGGAAGCAGAAACAAACTGGAAAATGTGACAGATAGCCCCAGAGGTAGTCTTTGTCCCAGTCACACTGATGCACTTCCCTGCAACACCTTATTTACTGAAAGTAGCCAGCTCATCTTAGCCTGTCACCCCATTCAGTGATGGGAGAGCATATGGTGCTCCGTGGAGTCCATTATAAGGATGGCTGGAGAGACACCTAGTCACCTAGCAGACACTTAACTGTGGACCTCATTAGTGCCATCCATCCATGTGATTTACCTGCAACCATCTTAGAAAATAGAAAGGGATGAGAAATATCATTTGTAGCAGGTGTGTGGTGCACACACACACCCTCACGTTTTGAAACCTGTTTGCCTAAAATTCTAACCTAAAGTATAAGGAATAATTATCTTTGTTGAATGTACTCATATACATTTGGCTGATAGGATAGGTGAACTTTATGGAATCCAGACACCATTTTAACACTGTAGCTCTTCTGAAAGGGCTAGAAAAAGAGAGTTAATAAATTTTGAGTGCTTCACCCTTTGGGCCCAATTAAATTTTAGTGCCAGTTAATTAGCGGTTAAACTTATTTCAGTTCATTCATCTAGAGAAAGAGCCATACAGAAAAGGACACGATATTGTAATTACCTCTGTTTAAAGAAAATTAAATAATAAAATAAAAACCAAAAACATAAATAGGAGATGTTCTGTCTCATTAAGGAATTATTCTTAAAATATATTCTTCTAAGAAAGTGAAGATAATTATTCCTTATACTTTAACTTCACTAATCAAATAAACTGTGTAGGCTTCTGAAGCTACTTAACTGTGAAAGGATATGGTATTAATCTGCTTCATTAAAAATGAATGAGGGGTAAATCAACAGCTACTTAGCATAACAGAAAATCAAGTTAAATAATGTTCGTAAATGATATTTGTCTCAATGTGGCTGCTTTGATCCATTGCCAAAAATATCACCATCAGATTTCCAGATGTTGATACATGAGGGCTGTGTTTTCATACAGGAGACTAATGTGACATTTAAAAATGGGAGCTATCCTTCTTTCTCAAGTTTTTAGTGGATGTTTCAGGTGCTTGTGAATCTGAATCAATTAATTGTGCTAGTGTATGAGAATTTCTAATGGCTCCACTGAGAAAATATAGAACTCATCAAATCCCAAAACTTGCCCAATGCATTTATTTACATTGTTCTACTATTTGCAGTAACGCTTCTAGAAAATAAGCACCTGGCCTATGTGATGAGTCGTATTTATTTCTTCTGGTACAAAAAACTGATTCCACACCCAGCCACGCTTCACTCTCAAATGAGATCCCACTGGCTGCTTAGCTTTCTCAGTTTTAAAGTTTTCTGTTGCTATAAGGCAAGGCCATAGGAGAGGCATTTCCAACACGAAAAGTAGCAGTAAACAGCTATTCATTCTGATGACTCTTTTTATGCCAATTGTTACTCTTGAGAAGAAACAGGATGACGCAAACAAAAATCTTCTCTTTCTTTATAGTCTTTTTTGCTCTTGCATTATCTTCCGTATTCCTAAAGCATAAGAAACAAAATAAAATTTGACATTTTAAAATAACATTTCCTCACATAATTACTGAGACAGGTTACAATTTTCGCATGTGAAAAGAATGGAATAAAAATATACATTTAATTTATCTACCAATTAAGCTAGTTAATTATATTTTGTAGCTCAGCAATAATTTGATTAGAATAATTATAAATTTCTGCTCAGGCACTGTTCATTTTAAACTGCAGTCATAAATCTGCCTGAAGGTTGAAAAATTGCTCTGGGACTCTACTGGATTGACAGCTGACATTGAGATAGAATTTTTTTTTTTTTTTT